ACTACTAATAGCTACTACTAATAGCTACTACTAATAGCTACTACTAAGAGCTACTAACTACTACTAGCTACTACTAGCTACTACTAGCTACTACTAACTACTACTAACTACTACTAACTACTGCTAACTACTCCTAACTACTCCTAACTACTACTGACTACTACTAACTACTACTAACTACTACTAACTACTACTAACTACTACTAACTACTACTAACTACTACTAACTACTACTAACTACTACTAACTACTACTAGCTACTAACTACTACTAACTACTAACTACTAACTACCTACTACCTACTACTACTACTACTACTACTGATACCTACTAACTACCTACTACTACTACTACTACTACTACTACACTACTACTACTACCACTACTACTACTCCTACTACTATGCGACTACTGCTCCTACTACTCCTACTACTCCTACTCCTACTCCTACTCCTACTACTATTACTACTACTACTACTACTACTACTACTACTACTACTACTACTACTACTCACTCAGTTGATGCAGTTGATGCAGTTTGATGACAACTGCATCAACTGGATCAACTGGGACACCTGTTCAACTAGGTCGGCTGGGGCCACAGATTTGCCGGTGCCCTGTGCCGACGCAAACCACATCCATGCAGGAACTCTTTAACTCCCTGCAAGAGGCTTTGGAGAAGGACTGACCTGTCCTATCGACCTCTTTCAAGTTCCCATCATGAACTCCAAGGTAAAGCGCCCCCTGTTTTGGAAGTCAATGTGTTTGTTCAAACATCCGAATGTTTCCACATCATATTCTTCTCACATTTGAAACTTGACTGGCGATTTTAGTTGGTCCTCGAATGGATGCCACGGTTCATCAATTTATGCATTGGATGCATACGCTTGATGTCTGGGTGAAATCAAGCAACTCTAACTCTAGAACCTTTGCCGTTTGTGTTGTTTGGAATGGTTGGGTATCGGATCATGTTCCAAATGTGGGGGTGTCGTCTGGATGTTGGACCATGCAACATTCCACCCAAGGTGTTTCCATACGTGGGCGTTCTGCTGCACTGATTCCAAAAACAGTTCCCGCGCAGTTCCAGCAAAGTTGGAATTGGAACGGTTGCACTGACCTTCTGGTGTGGGTGTATGAATGTGTATGGGGTCCAGCTGGGTCTTCCGTCTTCCTGTGGTTTTCTTTCGGCCCAACTTGGGGTTTCGAGGAGCGGCGTGGGCTTGCGCAGCAGACGCTGCAGCTGCGGAGCAGGAGGCGGTTGGTGCGCCTGAGTGCCCTGCGCTGCCGAGAGGCCGCTGATCTCTGAGTCTGACGAGTTGCAGTTGTGCATATTTTACATGCTACCGTGTAGTTGAGGCCATCGCTCTTATATAGATTCCTTAAAGTCTTTTACTTAAGGCCGTAAGGCCCTTTTATACTGGTTGTTTGCTCAGAGCTTGTGTAGAGCCAGCAATGTGTTGTTGATATTAATTGCAAAAACGGCCATGCCATTTTGGCTCAGGCTGTGATTCGAAACGTCTTCGACCTCCCGCTTTTTCGCGCGGGTGAGCCAACCGCGGAGTGGGTTGATGTCAAGACGCCCGAGTCTCCACCGGAATCCACTGGTTGAAGGCTGCCCGGCGCCCGCAAGTGCCTCTAGCACAGATGGGGGCCCACGGCCAGACACCGCGTGGCAACTGTTGACCAAAGCCCGCCGCCGAGTCAAGATCCAACACAGTGAGTGGAAGTACCAAGTGGCTCAGGTTGATGGAGAATGGTGGGTGAACAAGGTCGGCGCCTATGGGATGGCTAGCGCCCAACTCTACTGGGGCTGGTGGCCATCGACTAAAACTTTGTCTTTGTCGACGATATCAGATCAAGCGCCCTTGCTGACTACCTCAGTCCTCCTGCTCCTTATGTGGTGGGGTGCCCACTGAGCTGGAAGAAGACGGCGCTCTCAGAAATAAGTCGGTTTCCTGGTCAAAGCCAACTGCCCAGACAAATGTGAAATCGTGATAACCTGCTGAGTGCAAGTGTTGGATTGAATTGGGCAACGAATGCAATCCTTCTCGCCCGTTCCCTCCTGCAAACTTTGGACATGGTTCATGGCCCTGGACAAGAGTGGCGTGCCTAGCTACCTCCTCCGAACGATTGCGCTCTGTTTTCCACTGAGTACCGACGGGCTTCTCCATACAACCCCATCTCCGCCTGGTGGGGCGCGAGTGATGCAAGCGCCAGCAAAGGAGGCAACGCCTTCGTTGGGGGTTGGTTTTATAAACAAGATATGCCCGAGAAGCACGAAATCTGGTTCAGATTCTGGAATCGGGCCATCCTGCGCTTTCCTTCTACATGAGCGCGGCCTACAGCTGGCCCCTTCCGCCTGAAGAGAGACTACAGCAACGAATGGGCTGACGAACTGACCCATCCTGATAGCGAAGAAACTGGTTGTGTCCTTTGACCTTCAAAAGTTTTCATTCCTTTGGAAGATTCTAAGCGAGTCTCCGTTTTCTCCGAAGAGGAGACGCAGCGTCAAATGATTGACCCCTTCCTGGCCACCCAAGGTCCTTTCTGAAAAGGAGCCCGGTGGCCGCGCTGACAGGCAGTGGCCCTCTGTGATGATCTTCAGTTGGTCCCGCCCTGCCGACCATGCATGCTAGGGCGGCTGTGATTGAGGTGACCCACCTGCTTGTTTTTGATGTGAAGACACATACCAGGGAACCTGTGGTGGATCTTTCAGTGATGACAGACCTGCAGCAACCGCACCAGGCACCCTCATCTGCTTGCAAAAAAGGGGTGTGCCTACTGCTGCAGAGTGAGGGTGGGAAAACGAACAGTTTTCACCTCTAGACAAGGACACTTCTCAAAGTATACTGGAGGCTCATGTTTCAGAAGGGCCCGCCGTTGCAGGTGACAAAGTGCGTGCGACATTGTGCCAAGGCCACCTGGGCAAGTGCAGTGGGTGGATGGACTCAATAGATCTCAATAGTGGACTCAGTGCCTTCTTGCAGGTAAAGCCGTCCCGTTTAGGAACTGAATATGGAGCCTGGGCCGGTAAGACAACAATTTTAAGTGTGTTTCCCAAGGGCCATAGTTCTGAAAGAGGATCTTATTTTCCAAACTCAAGTACCCTTACCGCACCTTGCGGATCCAGGGGTTCTTTCCCATGCCATCATACAACGCCAATGTAGATTTATCATTCATTGGAGCAAAGCGTTGACAATGCCCAACTGTTATGCAACCCACAAAGTTGCACTTTCTAGGAAGACCTAATAGGATTTGGGGTCGTTCTTGCATGAGGAACCGCCAAATACCCGATCGTGACTTCATGTAGCATCCCAACAAGGCTGCCTGGACCTTGCGTTTTAATTGCTGCTTGCAGACGCTCTGGACAGGCTGGACGGGCTCGGCGACTGACCTGCCAAATTGACAACGCTTCTGCTTATTTAGCAGGCTAGAATCACTAGAATCTAGAATCATGCACTTTGTGCATCTTTGTGCCAGTTTTCAGGGCGAGACTACTGTGGCAGATTGATGCAATAGATCCAATGTGTCAGCAATCACCGTTTATTGGTGCAGTGCTGTGTTAAATCCTGTTGTGTGCTCAAGAGAGCACAGGTTCGGACCGTCAGTCAGACCTCGGCATGCCAGAGCTTTGTGTGCTTGGGCTCCATCCTCGGTTGCACAGCGGCCTGTGACAGGGTATTCGAGTTGAACGAAAGCACGTGTTTGGTGAACTCGAGCTCAATCATGTGCTGCCCAAAAGTCATAGAAAATGCTCACAGGACACAAACCACTGGAGGACTTTGCTATGAAGGAGGGGACGAACTTCAACTCGATTTCACCTTGGGCTAACACAAGATGCTCACAGAAACTCTGGTTGGCAGGGGCTTATTCTGCTTGAAAATGGGTAGGGCCATGTGAGGTCATTCGCGAAACGGACTCCAGAGCAGCCTTTTCTTCCATCCTCTTAGGCCAGAGACCGATCCCAACAAGCTGGACTTGGACCAAGAGCTCCTTGGACCTTGCTGGACTTGGAAAAGAAGACAGAAGAAAAGAACTACAGTATTCCTTTTGTTTTTTTCACAAGGCATTGTGATCCGCTAAGTTCCTGTGTGAGTCACAATTGGTGATTCAGTTGAGCTTGAGTTGAGTTTCATTCTGCGCAATTCAACCTTTTCTGCGAATTGCCGGTGGGTTTGCGTTCAAAGGTTGGCCAATGTTTCTGTCCTGATTCATGCATGACAAGCGCAGTTAGACAGCTTGTTATTTGACACACAAGCAACTTTCAGGCGGCATGACCAGGGTCAACCACATGAAGACTTCCTTTCGTTTCATCACAAGCCGCTTCAAGCATATTATTTGCACCGCCATTAGACATGCTCATTTGTATGTGCTCACTATGAGTGCTGCGGAAAGAAGACCACAGGTGATCACTCGCAGAGAATTAAAGCTTGGAATACAAAGAGTGGAGCTGCGCCTTTATCGGCGAACCCGCACCTCATCGGAAATCCACATTCGGCGGCCGCACTTTGTTTACACCATCAAAGTGCATTGGGAAGGAGATCCCTTGCCTCGTGACACATCCACAAGACCGAGGTCTGCAAGTCCCCAGGCAAGCCCTCGGCATTCGCCTATGTCTCCGCGCTCACCAGATGGGAAGAGCCTTGGCTTCGAGGATCCGTGGCCTTGGTGGGATCCGCTGCCGACCAACTATACCATTAAGAGGAGATGGCGCGACATTGTCCGCTTCCATGAGTCCCTCAAGGTGGAGTTAGCCAACGACCCAGTGTTGGATTGCAGACGGGTGAAGGCTAAAGATCCAGTTCTTCCTACTCCAGCGGATGTGGACGCCTGGCTCAAGTCCTACGCTGCGACTAATGATGCTTGCGCCTTGGGCCGAACAGCGACAGAGGTCCTAAACAGGGAGTTTGCGCCCTGCTTCAATGAGCTTGGGGATCTTCACTGGACGTATTGCCACAATCGCCTCGTGCCATATTTCAACGATGCAACCAAGGTCTTAGAAGAAGTCCCAACAGAGATCTTGGCTTCTTCCCGAGCCTTGCGACGATTTGTCACCGGAGGGGTCAGTGGCCGGCCACCTCCATCGGCTCTTCCTGTGCCTCCGCGTTTCTTGGGGAAATTGCTGCCTGTTTTGCCCGATGGCGAGGAGATCTCTCGTGCTGCCAGAGAGCTCCAGAAATCCAATTCGCTTAGCACGCTCTCAAGACCCAGGACCACAGATGACGTGTCCGGGAGACCCAGGAAAAGTTCACAAGGCTCTATGTCCAATGCACCGCTGGCAGCAGCAAAACTCATGGTGAAACAGTGAACAGGAATGACATGGAATTAATCAAGCACTTTCATGCGCTTGAAATTTGTGAGATTGAGCTCGTGATATTGCCTGTAACAGGCCCGATTTCCATTTTTGCCAAACCAATTCACTTGAACGAGTATGCATTTTGATAGTTGCTGTGCGCTTAAAGTGCATCAGCCCACCTAGCTTCGAAGCTGTAAGATTGAACAGCACCCTGGAGTAGCCAAAAACTGCTGCATTTTTTGAGGAAACACTTTGTTTCTCTCCGACCTAGACCATCCTAGACCTAGATAGCTTGGCGCCCAGAAAAAGGTTAGAGCATCTGGCGAGCCCACCTACCTACAATGCTGCAGACTCAATCCTCAGAAAGCCAGGGGTTTCGCCTCACTATATACTGTAAGTGGTTTGATCTTCGGTGGGAAGGTAAACACCTAAACACCTCCATCTAGAAGTGTATGCCAAGGCTGAGTCCTCGACAGGGGAGGCCAGTGGGCATGTAAATTGCAAGCTGCGAGCGGAGTCACAGAGCTGGTCAACGCGCGTTCTGCATCTCTCTCTCTCTCTATATATATATATATAATCTATTTTCAGCCGGCCGGGCCACGCCTCGTGTTTTTCTGGCGAATGACCGATCTGATGAAGGGATTTGCAGTCAAGCTCTTGTTTCCGGTGGAGAATAGAGATCAACGCCTTTTGCAGAAAGAGGGTTAACACGTCAACACCAAGGCGCGACAACTAACAAACATAGATGATTCATCCTTTCATTGCCAGAAGTGCCTGGCTTGCTTGCTTCGTTCCAGCTAGATCCCACACTCGCCTTGTGGAGGCAGGAGAGGCAGGAGAAATAAGAAACATATATGAACAAAGGAAGGTAAGGCCGCCTTCAAAGGGACCTTTTGCCTCTCGCCTTACCTTCCTTTCTTCATCTCTCTTGTTTTCCTCACTAGGCCACCTCACTCCCCTGGATGGATGGGTTCCTCGTTTGTCATTGTAGTGCTGGAGGCGGCGGAAGCGTGATGGTCTCTTCGGCATTTTTTCGCAGGCAAGTTGGGTGTACTTGCAATGCATGCCCCGATCAGAAAGCAGATGGCTTTGAAATGCTTTGACATTTGAACAGCATGGTGGGATCACAGGAAAACATGGAGAACCAATGCTGTGCAGAAACATTTCCTTCTTTGACGGGAACGCCTTCTGTGAACTGAGCCAGACAAATTGTACGACTAGATGATACTATTAGATGATAGTAAAGTAAGGTCCGTTCATAGACATTGTTGTACTGCATATATAGTCGTTTGCTGAGTCCTCGGATTCCTTGAGAGGAGCCGGAGATGGAACCTCGCCGGGAGTCTTCGGTGCGGATGGTGAAGAGGAACTATTGCACCTTGGCATCTCAACTTGGTGCTCAGATTTGCTCAGGGCGTTCGATATATTAATAGTTATATAGCAATATATACGTATATTTGTGGTGTGAACCTAAGTTAGGTTTGGTCAAAAAGAGGACTGTCCGGGCCAACTTTCGCGAGAACTTAGTGAAGCAAGAACCTGGCAAAGAAGGTGAACACCGTCTTTGCCACTCCTATCCCGCCCTTGATCGTGTCCTGCGAGCCTGTAAAGGAGGGACATGACCAATGACCTGGCCAAGGCCCATACCATCGTTTGGCGGCTGTGGGTGCCAGCATTGGTGTGGAAGGCTGGGTTTGCAAGGTTCATAAACAAGATGAGAAAGCCTCTCAAATCCAATGCCGTCTTGAAGCTGGTCCCCAGCTACCCAGCCGAGTATGTTCATCCATACTTTGAGTTGGAAGCATTTGTGTTTCTCCCTGTTGACATTATGGGCTGGCAAATCTCAAGAACCTGCTCCTTTTGAGATTCTTTTGATGCGTTCTGTTGAGACATTTTCTTGTGAGATATCCGACAGTGTCCTGTGACCGAAGCTTTCCTTTTCCAAATAGTCCTGTGTGTGTTTGTGTCACGAGACCTGAGCCAGCATCCAGGCTTAGCCAATGATTCTTCACGTTCCCACTCTGCGACACGGAACTTGCGGGAGATCCTCAGCGTGACCTGGCAGATGTGCAGGGGATGAGAAAACCATTTAGGGTCTGTGGACATTGACATTGGGATGATTGGTTAAGCTGATGCTTCTTCTTATGATTAATCCATCCAATTACAATACTTTTGATACTTTCTGATTGGTAGGACCTGGTAGGATTTGATTGCAGTACTGTAATTCTGCGTGAAACGTGAGTGGAGTAGTCATATTGTCATTAGAAATTGATGGTTGCCAGTAATCCAACGCAAAAGCCTAATGCACTTTGATTCAAATTCCTCCTCCCTCCACGAGGGTGGCCCCCAATAGTCAAAAAGGCTGAGCCCAATGCACTGTCACTCAAGTGACCAGTGATTTGAAGTAGGCTATCCAGGCTATCCACCTGCATGTTTCCTTCTCCGCAAGCGGACGGATGAGTACTCCAACGCAGGTTGCAGAGAAACCACTTTTGCATTTGTTATGTAACGGTGGCCAGGCGCTGTCAAAGCTTCGTATTGACCGTGCACGGCAAGAGCGTATGGGCATGACGAAGGTCATTCAGGAATAGCTGCAGCATACGGAGGTGTAAGGAACGGGGAAGATGGATCAGGTTGGTACGGCAAGCATGCGGGGCTGTGCCCTTCAATACAATTTTGATCTATATATATATTGCCAATTGAGCATACTTAGTCACTATGACGCTGGACGCTGTCATAGCACCGGCAACACTGAAAAGAGTGTGAAAGCCAAAGGCGCAGATGAACCTTTCCCAGATTCGAGCGCCACTGTAGATGCCCCTGTATTTGAGATGTCCGGTGGTTGAGACGTGTTGAAATGGATGGTGTGTCAAGTGGATGACTTTAAGTCGCGAGATCGACTTGCTTTAAACTCTAGCTGTTTGTCCGGAAGTGATGACCAACCTCCGAAGTTCCGTGCAAGCTTTCCCAGTCACACCATGGGCCCATCGGTCTAATTGCGAGCTGGGAGCATGACAACCACCGAGCAAACATGTTGTAGCACAGATATTCCAAGAGCCTTGGACTCCTACTGAATATCAAGAAAACTTGCACTTTCACAACCCATTACCCATGACATCCCTGACCAAACAGGAGCTTGTTGTCATGGTCTCTGGGATCATCTCCAACCATTGCAGGCAAGCTTGGGAACCTGAGATTGGCTTCCAGCGAGGTGCAGCTAGGAGTTGGAACATCAGGAGTCCTAGATGTTGGCATCCAATCAGAGTGGCTTTCACATCTCAGACTGAGGCAGCTCTCTTGGGTAGAAACTGGAACATTTGTAGCATGAAAAGACAGGGGTCCAGGGGTGCGACAGCAACTTGTGTTTGTGTGAGTCTTTGTTTGAGTCATAAGACTCAGACTCAGAGCCATCTTCGCAGCGAAGTTGTTTTGTTTAAGCGTTTGTTTGGTTGGTGGACATACCCTGCACCACCTACCAGCAGATGGACAATTTAGTGCATCCATTCCATCCCAGGTGATGCAGGGTTTTGTCGATCAACAGTGTTGCAGGCTGTCCCAAGCAAACGCTGCACACTCCCAGGACAGGACTGTCATGGTCAATCAAGGTCCTTCACAGACCCATCGGTCGAAATCACGAAAGGTTGCCTCAGGAATCCTCCCAAACGACGTGATTTTGAGGTCGCGAAAGGCGATTCTCCACTTTCCTCCCCCCCATGGGTTCAACTCGCGAAAACCAAATCAGGACCACAGGTTCCACCAGCCCCAAAGAGCCATTTGCCGTCCGCAGCAGCACATGACCGCTGCTCTTACCTTCCCTATACCAACAACCTTTCGTCCACCCCCTCTCAAGCCTTTTAGGTCGCACAAGCATGAACCTGCAGGAGTAACCAAGCACGAACTCAGCAACTCCGTTGTGGGGGTTTCATCCAATCACATTGCGAACAGCAAACGCCTCGCGGATAAGCTGACAGTTCATCACACTTGGTTCGAGTGGGTTCTGTTGCTCTCGAAAACTCTCTTCGGTCGAAACACGTTGCACAGTCTTTTTTCCGTGCAGTCTTCTTCGCATTTATCATGGTTGCAAACCCACGGAAGGCACAGTGGTTTGCAACTTCTTTCAGGTTGCACAAGCTTCACAATTTCACTCGCCATCACAGGCACACAAGTCCTTTCTTCCACCAAATTGTTTCAAGTGTTGCCTCCATTTTTGCTGCACCTCATACATTGCAAGACAATAATTACAGGAAACGGTGGCTACTTGGGCCTACTCCGGCCATGAAAGTCTTAGGTCAAGCGAACGGGGATTTCATTCTTTGCTGGGGACATTTGGTTTTTGTGTTTAGTTCATTTTAGTTCGCATAGCCGCAGAAACTCTGCGTCACCCCCAGCCTCAAGGAGGAAGATGAGGAATGGGTGCGGCCGCACCTCTTGCTTCAAGGCTGCTATTATGTTGTAGCAACATTTTTACAGAGTACTCAAATTAATTGGAACGCACCTTTCTTGATGTATATAGGTGTGAATGAAAACTAGACACACATCCATTGGTCGGGGCCGGTTGGGGGCCTTCCTATTCTAATGCATATTACATATCCATTCTCCTTTTTGATTATCCGGGGCTGCAGAAGTTGCATTGCGTGGCTGTGTGAATGGTCAATCAGAGCATGGTAAAAGTAGCATAGCTTCATGTAATCATTGTGTCACTCTCTCAACTTTTGCACCATCATTGAACTGAAAGATCACAGAAGAATCCAGAGACTATTTTGTGCTGCCGGATCAGGCAGTGAAGCACACGCGACCGAGTGTGTGTCTCGCTTCATCTTCCACCAGCTGCATCATCGTTTCTTTCCCACTGAGCCCACAGTGGACGATCAGAGGATGGGCTGACGACTGCGAGTCCACTCAGTGATAAATCTTGGTCAACGCATGTCAAAGCTTTTTCACTGGATAGACTTGCGAGTGCGCAGGATCCACGCTCAAATTCAGCGATTTTCATGGCTCCGGCCACGTCACCTCGATTTGCCAAGACCTCTTGTAGACACAGAGCAGGCAGCTTTGGACCGGACAAGTTCTCACTTTGTCGGTTGAAAAGTGACCTTACCCAGTGCAATCAGTTCAATCCTTTGGCATTGCGCATTTGTAATATTTTTTGATGAGGTAGTCTTTGGGATCTTTGGATTTGCTTGAGGGCATATTCAATAGGCTAAACAGACAGTGCGGTTGGCAATCCTAGAGGGGCTTTAGTTGAAGGCCACTAAACAAATCTTTTCGGTGCGGCCTAACATGTAGTGCTTTCCTTCGCTGGTCAAGCAGGCCAGCGAGGCCATCTTGCTCCTCCGAAAGTTGCGCATTTTGCCAGAAGCCCAGAGAAAGCTGTGTTTGTCAGTCGTCTCCGTACCTGTTTGAGAGACAGCTCTTCACTGCCAGAGTCTGGTAGGCAATCTTTACGTCTCTGCCGGCTGCCATTCTCATGATTTCCCTCGTCGCCAGCATCTCCCACTTCCCCAGTCTTGGATATCTGACATTTGCCGCTATCTTTTCTAGTCCCAAGTCAAGTAGCAGTTTGGTGGCTATGACGGCATCACATAGAGTATTGCTACTAGTATGTATTGCTTGTGTGGACGACCTGACTCTGGCTCGGCATGACTTGTCAACAATCTGATGCCCCAGAGTTTGGTCCACCCCAGCTCTAGCTACTAGTAACTTCTTGTTACTACTGTAGTAGTAATGGCCTCCGACATACTAGCGATGGCCTCCAACCTAATTGCTTCTAGATACTAGGCCAAACCTTCAAGCTCTCAACTAAGAACCTACTAAGGCGGAGTCCATGCGAGATCTTGGAGGTGATTGCCAAGGCATTTCGCATCACAACCCAGGCCATTTTCCCAGTGAACGTCCAGGCAGCTCGAGCGATTCTATCAGCATTAGATTCTGAATGACCCAGAATTTAGAATATCAACAGAAGGGATGGCATGACATGAGGCATATTTGATCAACCACAAGTCATCCCAAGTCTGGCTAGTCATGATCACTTGGCCCAATGATCTCCTCAGGCTGCGTGCCTTAAATCGAAGCTTGCCGAAGGCCCGGTTTCGTGTGCGACTAGCAGTTGCAGTGATCAAACACAAACCAAGCTAGCGGGTGCCAGTGCATGCTGCAATGCAGTGCCAGAACAGTTGCCTTCTTCCTTTTGGTATCCTAACAGAAGTCCTAAAGCCAAAGTTCACAGAGTGAAGCTGAACACACAGATGCAAGAGCACAGAACTCTCCTAAAAGGTTTTACTGTTGACCCTAAAGGCTAGACAGTAAAACACCGGTCAACTACCGTCAACACTAGACATTTCTGTGTGACTCATTAACACAAGAGCTGCTGCTAGGCCAATCCAAGTCTTCCCAGGACTGGAAAACACATCGGGCAATATGCCTGCGACCATTGCGCAAGCGACAACGAGCAAGCGACAATGCATATGGCGCAGGACAATGCATTTGGTGCAGATGAGGCTTTGCCGCTTTTTATCCTGATTATCATCAGCCTGGGCCTCAACTCAACCTGTACAGATATTGTATTCTCTTTGTTGGTCGTTCTCCTCAGGGGCCAACCCGCCAATGCTCCACAGTGTGCTTAGCTATGCTGAGCACTTCACAGCCCGCGGCTCAGCCATTTTGTCAGATTAGACCACTTGATCCACTTGCTTTTGAGGAAAGAGAAGCTGAGAAACATGCGAAGAAGAAGAAGACGTAGAAGAAGAAGAATAATAATAATAAGAAGAATAAGAAAAATCAAGAAGAATAGCAAGAATAATAATAAGAAGAATAAGAATAACAAGAATAAGAAGAATAAGAAGAAGAAAAAATAAGAATAACAATAAGACGAATAATAAGAAGAATAAGAAGAAGAATAATAAGAATAAGAATAATAAGAATAAGAATAAGAATAATAAGAAGAATAATAAGAATAATAACAATAATAATAAGAAGAATACGACGAATAAGAAGAAGAAGAAGAAGAAGAAGAAGAAGAAGAAGAAGAAGAAACAGAAACCTTTCTTTCAAAGGAACAAAGTCTTCCTCGTCACGGAAACTAGCTACTACAGTATTTAGCTTGCAAGTGTACTAGCTACTTTGCTTAAAGCAACTAAGCTACCTCCGCGACTCTTGCTAGTCTACCCTTATTTTTTTTTGGTATACTACTGTATATTATATGTTCCTACTAAAGTTTATATCATATCAACATCACAATATGTTTTGCATGCTTGCTGTTTGCTACACAATCCTGGCAGCAATTCCCAAGACCAGCGACCAGCTGCGTACCGAACAGGGCTATGCGCTTGCACAGGCGACGCGGAGAACAGTTGCGAGTTGCAGGTTTGACAACCCTGGCCTTTAACCGACACCTAAAACAAGGGAACACATTGTCACATCTACTATCATCTACTTAACATATTGTTTTGACTTGTTATTTATTTTTGGAGTAGGCCGTAGAGAAGAGGAAGCAAGTAGTCAGCAAGTAGATAATCAGATAAGGGGTATGTACTTGCATGCAGGCCCGGGTCTGGTCTTTTGGAGACTACCTTGTCGTCCACGCCTTTGTTTGGCTATCGGGTGGAATGTGACAGTGGAGTAACAGCAGCTGCTAACGCGCGCGCGCGACGCCTCGGCTGATATACCCAACTTCTGGCAGTGATTTTGATTACACAAAGACAAACAGGACCACGAAGCCAAAGTTTGCAAACCCCCGTGCGACACCACAGTGTATCTGATGGAGATAATTGGCAGAAGAGAGCCATAGAGCTAAAGTGCGCGAACCCGCGTGCGACACGCTGTCTGATATCTTTTGATGCTGTATCTGGTGCATGGAGATAATGGCAAAAGAGAACCATAGAGCCGTGCTGTTTGATACTGTACGACTTCTGATGTTGTATCCGATGGAGATCATGGCAGAAGAGAACCATAGACATAGACTAATAAAGCTAAAACGTTCGAGCCCCCGCGCGACACGCTGTCTGATACAGGGTTAAGTCGTCTAGTCTTGTAGAAAGTCGTGTGGATGTTGCGTTTACCTTGGGTTTAGATGCAAGATGAGGTCAACAACATTGTTTGGATGCTGCGTTTCCATGCGGTTTTGGTGCAAGATAATAATATAATTGCTGGGCCAGAGCAAGTAGAAAAGATCTGTGTAGCCTCAGCATGCTGTGTGTATGTTTGTAGGCTAATCTTCATGATAGTCCTACCCCACCAAAACGCTGCAAAATTCGACATAAATCTTGTTGTTTTGTGAATTTCTGATGTACAGCAGCTTTGGATAATTTTGGCAAACATACTCCTGTAGAGCATCGTAGAGCGTTTCCATGGTGTTTCAACATAAAGCGGGTGACCTTTCGGAGCCCGGGTGACTTTTGACTAATGCAGCGTTTCCATGTGGCCGGGTGACATTTTGCAAACCCGGGTGACTAAACCCCGACGCTTGTATATTTTAGATGCTGTATTTGATGGAGGTTATGATAGAAGAAAGCATAAGAAAACCATAGAACCCTGCTGTCATTCTGATGTTTTATCTGATGGAGGTAATGACAAAAGAGAACCATAGAGCTAAAAGTGTGCGAGCCCCCGTCCGTGCGACACGCTGTTTGGATCTGTTTGGTATATTTTGATGTTGTATCTGATGGAGAGAGTGATAGAAGTAGAAGAGAACCATAGAGACTGCCTTGACTCTGTCGGGCCCGTGTTGGGCCCGTGAGCGCGTTGTCATGGGCCTGCTGGGCCCGTGGTGTTGGTGGTGGGGCCCGTTGGGCGCGTGGAACCTTGGAACGTGAAGCGACCATTCCCGCAGCGACACAACATAGCTCGGGTTCGGGGTTCTTTAAGAAGTTCGCATGATGCGGCTCCTGATTTTTTGGAGGAACATAAATTTTAGACCTTCCTTTCTTTTCGTTTGTTTGTTTCAGCCGCGCATTGGGCCTGGGGCACTTCAACCCTCCCTTGCTACTCCTTCTAACAAACCCTTCCGCGCGCTATACCTTAGTACCCTTGAACACAGAATTATGAGCTAGTCTGTGATGTTCCACTCAGACCACGCATGAGCAGCCAAGCAAACCCTCATCCACCACCGCGGACAGTGTTTTGATGGTTTTAGCCAAGTCCTTTGTCATTTTGACAATGTTAGCATGTTCTCGTGATCCGATGAACACCATAGGTTTTGGAATTGAATAGGCGTCACTTGTCAGGCTCAAGCTGCCGTGTCCTTCTCCAGCTCATTACGGGACAAGGCACTCAGGGATGCCTGGTCAAAAACCTGGCTGACAGGTCAATTTCTGTATGTGTGTCCGCTTCTGCGCTTTTCTTTGAAAGGGATTTGAGAGCAGAATTTGTTTTGGGGAGTAGCCGAGCTGACAAAGCAGGGGTTGCGAATGGTTTTGCAAATTCTCCAGTGTTGAGATATGATATGACTGAAGATCTAAGACTCTCTTCATTCTGACACATGGGGGGCGCCGTTGAACCTTTTGGATGTCAGGAGCAGTTGTCTAATCTCAGACCTGGAGAGTGGGAGAGCAACTTGGCAGTGTGAGAAGATGCCCAGAACAAATGCCCAGCAAACGCAATGAATGAACTTCAAACAATTCGGATTCACCTGCCAGATTTGCCCAAGCATTTCTCGGATTGATTTATTTGTTAGAAACCATTGCCTGGATGGTTCTGTCAAATACATTCTTCAGCTTCGCTGAAGGTCATTTGGAGCTGGGCAGCGGCTGTGAAGACTGGACTTGACGCGGGAGTCCCGCAAGTAGATTGTGGCTACAACATACATCCAAAAAGAGGTGACGTTGGGAACAAAAAGCCTTTGTCACGTGGATTGTCTTGTCATTTATTTGTTTGCATTACTCACATTCAGTCACACACGGTTGGGATACTCTTCATCCACCACCTCCTCCTGCCTTTTGTCATTTGGATAATTTACGGGCCCAGCTGCATTTAGTTGGATGGGACAGATGGCGTAGAGGCATAGACTACATTCAGGTGAAAGCAGTTGTAGGCCTAACCTACCCATCTATATACTGTATATATATATATAATTCCCAGATGCTGGACTCTTGCAGTCGCCTTCCCGCACTTTATAGTGCCACGGACACAATGGCCCAACAGCCTTCCTTTTGGAACATGCAGCTTATTTAGAGCATTAATTGTCCTAGCAACACAGTTGGGCCACTGTGGCATTCAGGATGCCTTTTATAGCCACATTTTGCTGACATGTTGAAACATGTTGAAAACATCCAACGTTTGGAGTATTGGGGGCGCAAATGGCGCCTGCCAAGCACTGGGCTTTTAGTCAGTTTGAGCCCCCTAGGCCATTCGCTTTGAAAAGATGTGGGCCGAGAAGAGAGTCTTCGTTTGTTTTGATTGAGAAGAAGACGATGTAAAATTGTTATAATTGTTGTTTTGGTAAGCTTTGTCGGCAGGCCTTCACAGAGTGTACTTGCATATTTGGGAGAGTTTCAGCTTTGCAGCTGCAGGGGGATGTAGTCTGCCGCTACAGCTGCATGAACGGGATGTGTCAAAATCAAGCACATTGGACAGGTCTCGGCAACTTGGATTTTCGGCAATGCCGGCCAAATTGGCTCACCAAAGGGCTACATAGTACCCGAAGCCGTGCAGCCGGAGCGCTGAGTTTACTTGCGAAGACTTGTTGCTCGTCCCTTGATAGTTTAGTGTGGCAACTCCCTGCGTTTTGCAGCTGACGCTCGCGCTCCATACCATACTCATTGATTGTTGGGTTTCGTCTCAGTGGGTTGGGGAACGGGACCCTGTTCGCGCTATACTCCATAGCCAGTTGCTCTATGGATAGTAGCCTAGAACCACTGAGCAATCCCAATGTGAATCGGAGGTTTGTTTTGGTCTGGATGGACTTTGTCACTCTTGGGCAAACCTTTCCATAGTGTTCGAGCGATTTTGGTTGCATAGACTGTGCCGATACTGAGTGGAGTGTGGGAACTGTTTTGTTTGTCACTTGCTTAAAGATTTGCAGAACTGGGAAGGAGCACTTGTTCGCGTTTTGAGTTGGACTTCATGAGAGGTACCCCGGCTAAGGGCCAAGCTAGCTTAATTTCGGGGCTACCAATCTCAACAACATGACGCCTCATCTTACTGTACACCTACTGTAAATCACCGTGCGCGTGGACAAGACACGCACGCAGAGACATGACACATGCAAAGTCACGAAGTGCAAGTTAACACAAGTATCGATCCATGAGAAGCCGTTCCAGAAATTGAGCGAATAAGAAAGTTGAACTCGCAACATAGAGACTTGCTCCAGCTCCCTATGACTGAGCTGATGCATGCTGAACAGTGTTCGATGTACTTAGACAAACGAGAACATCTCTTTGTTTCGAGGTTTCAAGCGCAATGGCACTGAAGATTCTGGTCCTCGCGCAGTGGGCTGTTGCTGCCTCCTTGGCTCCAGGACCTGATTTCAAGAAGATGCGCTTGAGGATGGGAAGGATGCTTTCATTCTTGGCAATATTTTCCCAGAACAACAACTACTAATCCATACTACTCCTACTACGACTAGTTACCACGTATGCTGCTACCGCTGCTGCTGCTGCTGCGGCTGCTGCTCCTCCTCCTCCTCCTCCTACTCATAATTATATAGTAACAATAAGGTAGCATTTTCTCCGTCTTCCAGCGTTTTTGGACCGATGCGAAGCCAATGCCCCCATGAGACAGCGGAAGCACTAACAGGGGCAGCTTAACGGCGCATGCCCACGTCAAAACCGTGTTGAGAACATTTGAAAACCCTAAGGGTCTGTGGAGGTAAACAGATCACCTCAACAGATGAAAAAATCATGCAATCCGCAAAGACCACAGAAACATCGTTGCGACTTGATCTTTACCATGATTATGATCTCGGATGCACCCTCATAATTCATCTCTGATATACGGTTAAACATATTAGTTCTTATATTATTTCTTTTGTCCTCCAGGCGTAACTTTCCTTTATTTGGTAGACATTATTATTCACTTCTTATGGATTTTACACATCTCTTATCTTTGGAGAACTTTCCTTTAATATCGGACCTACAATCCACTTCATGTATAAAGGGAGATACCAAATACATGAAAGATACAGATGAATTATGGAAATACAAATAAGGAACATATCATCATAATAGATAAAATACATCGGTTAAAATATAATAGAAATACAATAGAAAAAAACCAGCGGTAAACCTATGAAATGAACATAATAAAACAATAAACATGTCACATTGTTTGCTGTCAATGAACTGGTTTGTTAGGAGACTGTGCATTCGTGGGCATCTACGGTGAGAAGGTGCAACGGCAATGCATTTCCAAGCTTGAGTTGGTTGTTGATTCGGGGAAGTGGATGATTTTGCACAAACGCACCCTAATCGGAATTTGGTTAGATCAGCATACTGTTTGCAAGAAGCAGCAAGGTTGGCCGCCACTGTCATGTTCCTAGCTAATTAACGAAGTTCATTATACAAGACTTGCAAATTTGGTTGCCATCCCTCAAGATGACCTCTTTTGCGACGGCAGATGGTGCAGCCTGACAGATGCCAGTACCAGAAACAGACTCTTCCCCATACACATAAGAGGCTTCTTTAAGTTTCAGAGCGTGAACAGTCAGCGGTGTAACATGGTGTAACTCATTATGAACATTCACCTTTGGTGAGTATGCCTATGTGAAGTCTAAGAAGAGATCGACGTCCAAGCGTAAGCTGAAGGGCAATGGCCTAGCTACGCAGCCTTCAATCGAAATTGACGCCTGGGTGCGCGGACCGACTGCTGAAACTTGTCGAGATTTGTGCGGTTAGTTGGTTAAAGCAAGGCATTTGTCGCATTGCCACAGCCGGAACTGTTGCCATAGTTTTGCCGGTGGCCAGGATGATTTTGCCATCCTTTTGCTCGAGGATGCAGATGGGGAGAGAATCTCACTGACAGATGGAACTCTCAAGGACAAAGACTTCCAGGCCGGCCCTCTGCTCTTGCTGACTTTCCTAATCTTGGCTTCCAGGCCGAGATCTGGTTTAATGTGGGAATTCAGGAAGTTTGCAAACATGTTCGGAACTGCTTGCCCCCACGGTCGGCTTGTACTTGCTGGATACAGGTTGTTTCAACTAAAAAGAACCCGTGTTTGCATTCGGGTACAAAATAGATTGATGCGTCCAGGTTTTGAGAGGACATGCTGCATTCTTTTCTGCATGGCCATGCAATGTCGCTCCATGTAGTAGATGTACAGTCGATTCCGCACCAGCTTCGTTGTTTTTGCTGATGCTGATTTGGAACCAACTGAAGCTCGTCCCAATGGCCACTTTGCCACCTTCCAATTTGGCAGGCCAAACAGCGGGCGCAAGCGAAGGAACATGTGAAGGATGCCGTCAAGGGAACTGCGCCGTGGCTGTCAAAATCCCTGCAGGTTCTCAAGGGAACGGTTGGAGCAGATGGCTGAGCTCGCCATATATGTTTATATTCTTAATTATATTGTTTGTCTGCAAAGTTTGCACATTGTCAAACTCATTCATATCAGGCATGGAAGCCAGGAGTGTGGGGGGTTGTAGGTTTGTACAGGCGGCGTACAGGGTCTTTACTACTTAAACAACATGGACAATTGCCCTTGTTGAAGCGGCTCTCACATTTTTCCATCTCTTTTTGCAAGACCCCACATGCCTTGCAACCCAAGGACATTTCACGAAAGGTAGCCCTCAGGGGGATACCTTGAGTTTGTCTTGCGAAGCAAGTGTGGGCTCCTCTGGTTCTAATAAATGATAGTTCAATTCAACGCCCCTCCCCCCCTTTTAATTGATTTTTCAATCCAACCCAACCCCTGGAATTGATTTTTCAATACAGACCCCTCTTACTTGGAGCGGGTCATTTGGTCTGCGAGAACATTGGCAACGCGGAGTGTGAGTCATGAGTCAACAAGTTCCCGGATCAACGGCTCGTATCTGCATTGGCGCAGCGCATCCACTGCTGCTCGGATCTGGATTTGCTGGCGCAGCACATCGGATGTAGATCTGAAACCGAGTTACACCAACCACCGTGTGCACCACCACACCACGTTTTACTCCAACTGCTCACCGTTTACACCAAACCACCATTTACACCAAAGCACGTGTTACATCAACCACCGCTTACACCCAACCACGGCTTACACCCACCACCGTTTCCACCACACCACGGTATACACCCACCACTGCTTACACAAAACCACGGCTTACACACCAACCACCGTTTACACCAAACCACAGCTTACACCAACCATTGTTTGCACCAAACCGCTTGGAATTGATGTTTTACTCCTAACCCCCGTGGGCATTCATATGTCAAGACAGACCCCCCCCCCGCGTCGTCCCGAAGTGGATCCAAATCATCGAATCAACAAACTTCTTTTGGGATGCAAGTGTACGTGCCTTGTGGTTGCCCCGCCTTGCACCTTCCAGCTTTCCTACCTTTTGTGTATCCCTCTTCTCAAGTGAGTGTGGGGTTGTACTCTCATTCAGGGTTTTTACCTGTTGGCCAGCTCATGAGCGCACAAGAATCTAGGTATTGCGGAAGTCGGACTTCGTGACAGAAAATGGGTGGCTTGGCATAAGGGGTGGAGTGGTTGAAGTATCATGAAGTTGCCTAGAAAACCAACAAGAATTGTGGAGGAAGGAAAGAAGCCATGCACCTACGGTTTTGTGAGATTTCCGTGTCCAGCCCGAGCAATGAACATTTGTGAATCCTAAAGTTCTAAAGTTCGTTGACAACAACATGAGAAACACACATACACACAAACACGCCCTCTCACCCACATCCCCGGTTCAGGCACATCAGCGATCATCAGCGCTCAACCGGCCACATTGTCAGGTGGTCCTTTGCGGCTCCATTGGCACTCACGGTTTACAAGGGAAGCCCGTCGTCTCCCACGCCCTTGTGCGGTGTCAACTTGGATGGGAAAGCAGGCGGGACTTGATGTTGGGAGGCGACTGGCGTTGCAAGTCTAAGTGATCCACGCTTTCCCGGGTGGAAACACTTGGAGGGAAATATATACTCAATAGATATGATATGATATAATACAACTGCTGCAAGGGTAAGTACTGAGGCTGGCAATGATGCGTCCAACCTCTCCTGTGCAGAACAGGGTTCTTCCGTTTAAGTCATGGAATGTGTGTTGATGGATCTTTTCCGCCACGCAGCTGCTCCACCACTTGGATTCTAATATTATAGTTATAAGTTATAAGTTATACATATACATATTTTTAAATATTATATAGCTGACCTGCAACTGGCAACCTGTTTAGTCCATAACAACGAACCAAAGGGAGGAGGATTGACCAAAGTCGGCGGATGGTCAGGTGAAACTAGCGTGGTGGTGGTTTGTTAGTCAAACAATAGCCACTTGAGGACCTTGAGGAAGCAACAAATGACCGCTCTACTCAGCAAGTGGTCATTGGGTGGCCCGTTTTTGGAAATGGTTTCAGATCCCGAGCAAAATGAAAAGGAGTAAACAAAACATATGATATAATAAGTCCCCATGGAGTTGCAATGGAGCTTCTTTGTCAATTAGAGATTGCTAGTACTAGATGCACCGCTTGCAGCCCTGGCCCCAAGTGAATTTCGCAGTCAGAAATGCATTTTGGTTTTGCGTTTGCAATTCAAAAAGAAAAGACCACATGGGGCTGGGTAATTGAACTTAGTATTTCTGAATTGATCAACATCTTGCAGTACCGATAGGTGCCAACCCTATACCGATACTCTTTATTGATTGAAAGCAGCTGAGTGCCTGCATTCCAAATCACTGGAAACCGATAGGTGGGGCCAACCCAAAAATCTTTTGGCATTTCGGGACACGAAGAAGTTTTGTACACCACTCATATATAGGTTACATATGATTAATACATAAATGATCATAAATGCAGGCAGCAGTCTGCAAAGTGAACAGATGACTCATGTGTTTTGGATTTTCGGACAAATGTCCAATGTCCAGTTGTGCGGGGTCCTCCGTCTTCATCCGATGCATTAGTATGGTAGACTAAGTTGTGACGCTCACTTGTAAACGATTGTGACTCTGTGACAGAAACCTGACTTCAAGGCAAGTGTTTGATGCCTACTGCAAATCCAATCTCGCAACAACGGGCATGCCTTAGCTGTGCAGGCAACATGGCGGTTCGCAGGCTGGATGAAGAGGTGGGCAGGGATGCCTTGCTTTCTGACCTCGGCCACCAAACAAGAGGTGGCCGCCTGATGAGCGGATTGTGTTCTATGCTTGCTTTAGGTGGAAGCATGTGCACGTATAATGGAGTGTATTTCTTGTTTAATACGTCGTTGCAAGCAACACTTAGGACCCGGGATTGTCACTACGTCCCACATGTTGCATCGTGCTACACCGTGCTACATCGCTTCTTTTTGTCGGGTTCAGCCTGAACCGTTCAGGTGGCTGCCCTCAATCTTGGCGAGACTGAGACCGCCCAATATGCAGGACTCATGACTGGCAGCAAGGACAGAGTTTGAGCCGTTTGAGCAGTAAACATGTTGCGACTAGCAGTTTGCAAACGGATGATTGAGGCTTTGACCATCTTTGACCAGTTCTTGGTTTCTGATTGCTGATCGCATTTGTTTGCAGTTGAGAACCAATCCGTGTGGTCACATGGCAGAAAGGCCAGACCAGTGAAGTTCTGAGCCTCTGATCTTTGGAGTAGCGCAGGAAGAGCTCTTGGATGGCATCACCAACCCCATGAACTGGTTGCGAGATTCAGCTGTTCGCCCCTTGCCAGAAGAAAACGGACCAGAAAGGAAGGAAAGAAATAAAGGCTAAAGGGTCTTAAAAGGCAATCGCGGAAGAAGGAAAGCACCGAGGGACCGAGTTGTGGGTGCCTTGTGATGCTGCAAGTCAGTTCTACAATGCAATGTCATGTTTTGGCAGAGCAACTCTTAGTCTTGTGGTATGACGCTGGATATCTCGATTTCGCAGCTGGACGACTTTTTGCCTGGCTAATTTTGAATGTATCAAACCGGGACCTGCACTTGCATCCTGGTAGAAATGAGATACATTTTCGGAACCCCGGGCATTGTAAGTCCCCAAGGCTCTCAAAGTCCTCAATACCTTAATTTGCCCTGGGCATTTCGATTCTTTTGGTATTGATGGTGTTTGGATCATCTGGCGGTTGCCACTGAATGTCTTTCCGAGGCCAACTCTCCGGCTTTAGCATTGCTTCGGGCCAGAACAGCACCACATCGATGACCACGACCTCAATGGGGGGAAACACCACGGAGACGACTGAGGTGGATAAGCCTCGTGTTTTAGCAATTTTAGCTGCCGATTCTGTTTTGGGAGATTTGCTGGCAGCAATATTGTTTTATTGTATTTTATTGTGGCTTCAGACGGTGTCAGTGACAAACTGGAGTGGACTATAGTCCATTATCGGCCTGAAATAGGTTAGGTTCATCAGCGGCAGAAGACTACCTGACTACAACATGTTGCTCTTGTCAAGGCCGCGCGAACTAGCGAGCATAGACCACCAGTCAGTAGAATCACTAGATACAGCGCCAGCACCATTGGGTGAAGTTGGACACATGCTGATGCAGACAGATGCTGCAAGATATTGGCGAGAAGTATATAACTGTTTGAGTGCTAGGAATGACATAAATATAGTGGGACTGGTGGCCAGCCAGCTCAGCTTTGCCAGACGACCAGCAGCATGGACATGACCACAGAAGAAGAGGATGGTGCATCGCACGCCACTGTTTGCGGTGGCTTGGACTACGTTGATATTGCGCGAGCTTCGACTGCCCAACACCCCCACCGAAGACAAAGCTTGGTGGACCAGGCCCCTATGCAGGCAATACAGATGGTCAATTTGTTCTCCTGAGGCTTGAGGTATGTGACAACTGGTTTTATTGAGGGTAAAGAGCAGCTCTTTGATATCCGTCAAGAGTCAAGAGCGTTTTTCCCGATGAAAGTTGGCCTTTGCATGCTTTTCTGCTGCCTTTGCGCTAAAAGATTTGTTTTGCTTTGTTTCCCACCGAAAGCTTGTCAAAAGTTTTGGAACTCTAGTCCAATTGGACATGACCAAGTGAATACTTGGGGAGACTCAGACTTAGAACTGTGCTCCGTAACAGAACCTAGTCTTGAGAACTCCCCACTCTCAATTTTTTCGCCACACTTTTCGTGCAACAAGCGGCTGCAGCCTGCAGCGCTTCACCCACAAAGGCTGACAGTGAAGCCCCTAGAGTCTAGAGTCTGTTAGAGCGGCCTCCAACCCAATAGCAATGGCCTCCAACCTAAGAGCGATGGCCTCCACCCTAGTAGCGATGGCCTCCTGCTTGAGTGTGTACTACAATGTCACAAACGTTCCTCTTTGCTCGACGAGAACATGTCCAATCTCAGTGAGTTGTCCGTTTCTCTCTGAGGCGTGATCCTGTCTTTAGTCTTGGCCACGATGTAATCGAGGAGGTTGGAGGGACTCGGGATGGACTCGGAGGGACTCAGGGACATGGGTGTTGGGTGAACACATGACATGTTGGAAGGTATTGGGAACATGCCGTCGACAGGTTCAAAGGATTCAATTGTCCTATTTCATGATCACAATGTGAGGGTTTTTGTCAGGATGCTGCAGATTGCCAGTCGGGAGCAAAAACCTTGCCGCTTGGCGGCTGCTTTGCTTTGCAGGAACGCGTTCTTGGAATTGTGTTTTGCATCCGTGGTTGCACAGAGTTGGAAAAGGTATCCATGCAATCCACGTGAACTACTTGAACTTTGAAGATAGATGAAGCAGATGTGATGATTGTGATGCGATGCTTTCCTTTCAGGTTTTGAGAGTTTTGCTTGTTGGGCGCATCAACCTACCTGAGCTGGACTGCAGACCACACTACTGCAACTGTAACTTCATTCGTCAGCTTCTAATCCACAACAGGAACTGACGGACTGCGAGGTGCTCGATACTGTAGGTCTGTTGAAGAGGGTTGGGTGGGCCAGCGTTTTTGTTGGCTTTGGGGCTCCGGAGTGAGTCAGTCAGCTTTAGATTCTTAACAAAGTTTTACAAAGTTTAGTTTCGTAACAAATCTAGGAACCAAATCATTGGTGCGTGAGCTATACTGCATCCATATGTAGTAGCCTCCTAGTAGCTAGGAGCATGCAAGTTTGCCCCTGAATTAAGTAGGAAGGAGGCAGGGCCGAGCGGTCTTTAAAAAAGAACAACTCGAAAAACTTGGTGCCTTGGCACCGAGGTGAGCCGGGCAACCTTTGCCAATTTAAGCTTGAGACCACATTTTGCATCTTAAAGGAAGGGACAGGCGAGAGGTGAAAACTCTCCCTCCGTTTCTCCGGTACTTTTGTGCAGGTTTCATCAGGCTGTTTCCTGATTTGTTTATTTTCTTGAAAGCTTCTTGCCCCCAAACATCGTGCCATCGCACCTGTAGTGGCCAATAGTCAAGCCCCCAAAGGCAGTGCGCTTTTGATCGCAGTGAGCTCTGTATTGTTACCTTCCCAAGCAATACAGAGCCCTGTGTTGGCCTTGGCCTCATCCGGTTTTACTCACCCTCCGGCCTTCCGGCAGCATTGTCCGGCTTCTCGTCGTGTCCTTCCGACGGTCCAGGGCATAACATCACATGGTCGGTGCGAAAGCCATGACAAGGGTTGAACAAGCAAGGAAGGCCCAAGAGACAAACGGAGCCATTAGCCATATCTGGAAACACTTTAATTGTTCACGTAAGAATATCGTGCGCAAAAGACACTATTCAACATCTTTTTGACCCAACTCCAGCGACAAACAGAAAAGACTTCTGATTGTGGCCCGCGGTGCTTGTGAGCACAAAGCAGCCAAGCATGTGGCTTCGACTGTTGTCAATCAACACAAGCGAGGGGAATCATTAGGTGCCTTTGCTTTCATGAGATTCTTCCTTTTGGATTTGGAGACTCAACGCGAAGCTGCTAAATTGCGTTCGATATCCGGCGCTTCTCCATACGTTCTTATACGCCACTCGCCTGCCCATTGAGGTATAGAGAGTCCCTGGCGACCTGGGACAGAGCCAAGTTTGTCAGGTGTGGAGTTTAGATTGACTCACGACTCTACAGTCGCATGAAAGAGAAAAAATAAGGCGAATGCCTCTATTTGCAAGGGTCCTTCAAAGGGGTCTTATTAACGGGGGAGTCACCTTTCATCTTTCCTCTGACTTTTTATCTATTTTGTAGCCTTCTTTGAGTGCTCTTCTCCAGGACTTCTATGTCTCGAATGAAGCACGGCAAAGCCTCCTAGGTTGCGATGACACCTAGAAGAGCAGAGCAGCCAGAGACTCACAAAGGGTCAAAGCTGAAACCAAAATCCAAGTGTGTTTTCATAGAAGCACCGGGATGCAAGACAACAGGATTCATCTCAAAGTTTTTCCTGAATGCAAACGCTGCTAGTCATTTCTCCATTTTATAGAGAGTGTGGTTGTGGAAAAATGTCCAACAACAATTATTGTTTCAGCAACAATTGTGATGTTTCCCTTTACAGTACTTGTGTTAGTCTGTACAGTGGAGTACTTTCACAGCCATCACTGTTTCCTCGAGCAAGGGGCAAGAGATTATGTGGACTTTACAGTTAAGACTGCTCCAGCACCCCCCCCCCAAAGCTTCATTTGATTCTTTCTAATTTATAAATTGCATACTTCCAATGTTTCCCTCCATCTCTCTATTGGTTTAACAATCATTGGACAGCACGTCCCGGTTCTTCCTGCTTCAAGAAGGAAGTGGGGTAAAACCTTTGTGAGTCCATGAAGGATTCAGGATTTGCAAGGCTTTTGGCACTGCCCCAAAAGCGCTTTCAACCGCATCCATTCGCCCGTGTCTTGTGCAACAGCGCATTGATTAAGCCCAACTTAGGATGAATTAGATCGCAAAGAAACCAATTGGATGATTCAGTTTGTTGGATAGAGTTTTTTGGGACAGACGACCCAAACAAGTCATTTGGCTTTGATTGCTGTGCATGTCACCAATATGGGAGTTGATCTAAACGTGTATGTAAGGGGGTTTATATAAAACGACCTTTTGGATGCTGTCCAGGCCATCCGTGAAAGATCCGCGATGAGGTTCGCGAAAGTCGCGAAAGTATATTGTTTTTTCTCGCAAAGGATTTATCGAAGTAAGGTCTTCGCTTTCGTATTATGTCTTTTCTACCGACCGACAAATGGTAGGAATACAAGGCAATCCTCCGACAGAGCCGGTGTGCGGAAGTGTCCCCACACGTCCCACTAACGAACTGAAGCCTCAACGTTTCCTTGCCCAGCAAAGGATTCTCCGATTCCTGTCTTTGCGCAGCATTTCCCCTGCACAGCCTTGAAAGTGAGTCAACGACCCGCAGCTCTGACGGGATTGTGCAGATGTTTGTACATGTTATGCCTACCCAGGGAAATCAGCAATGAAATTTCGCGAAACATCCGCAAAAGTTCGCGAATGTCCAGGTTCCAAGCTTGAGGCCCCACAACATTCCCCGAGCTGCATCACCCTGTGTTGGTAGCTGGCAGAATTGGGCTGAGCTGTATTCTAAGCCTCCTCTAGGACTATACTTGTAGTTCCAGCTCATGTTAACTAATTCGACACGGTTTTGGACATACTTCGATGAGGCCGCGAAAGATCCGCGAAGATAGTCGAAGATATATTTTCCGATTTTTCCGCGAAGAACGGCCATTCCATACTGAAATAAAATTGATCAACAATAATATGTCGCCAGTTTTGGCCCGCGCCCCTTCGAATCTCATCGAGGCTAGGTTGATATACCCAGCAGCACTTCTCAGTAGGTTTTACGAACGGAATGGTTGATCCAGTTGATCGAACTCGGCTATTGCTGTTGCTCCTTGCCCAAGACGGGGGCGCTGTTTCGGAGCGACAAAGACTAGTTTCCATGCATGACGGCGAGCAACACAAAACTGTCCTTGACAGTGCGTGGTGCAATTGCGGAACAAAATGTATGCAGCTTTTGCTGCGGAGTGTCATTTCATGGCAGGCCTGAAGTGGTGATTGTAGTCCGGAACGCACGATTGCCTGGAAAGAAAGCAGTTAACGGTACACTTGATCGAGTTGCAATAGTATTTCAAGGCCTTTCGGTGTGCAAAGAGGTTTAAGGGGACCAGCTGACACGCAGAACTGTCAAATCCAATTGAATCAAGTGTGGTCGCACTTGGGAATGTAGCATGAAACATTTTGAGTTTTGACGTGTTTTGGAGGAACAATTTGGTTGGTGGAAGTGAAGGCTGAACAGGAAATGTTGCGATGCTTGCAAGACTCAGGGATGTGAAAGGTTAGCAACTTTGAGCACATTGACATAATTCATCATGGCCGACATATTGGCTTACAGAATAGTGCGGGACCGGTGCTTCAAGTTTGTCACGTCACCTGTAACCTGTCCCTTGGCTTCTTCAGTTTGGGCATGAGGCTTTTAATGCCGGCAGGTTGCCAAATACTTTGCAAGTTCATTGGAGAACAGCCAGTCTGGAGTCTAGTGAATTAAGACTCAAGACCTTTTGAAAGATGGTTCGTAAGTCAGCAAACATACTTTCAAGAAGTTGGGCAACCTGCAAGGAATGAAAGTAATGTTCATAGACAGACCAAATTCCTTACCCCAATGTATTACGATTGTGTGCACGTGTAGTGTAAGTATCTACAATAAATATCTCCCGTTTGGGTACTCCTCCTGTGGCATGCAATGTGTGGACTCAGGTATGTCCGTGGTTTTGAATCGATGCCGATTTAGAGCAATTTTAGTGGAAAATAACATCCACTTGCTCAATGGCTCGAGCGTGTCCGAACTCAGTTTCAATCGCACGACTATATCACGCTTCATTCAAAGGCGTGCCGAAGACAAATTCAGATCAGGTGATGGACAGTGCTTCCAACTGCAAGAGGCCTTGTCGGAGGGAAAGAATGAGTTGCCGTGGTCGAATTCTACAACCAGTTTGTGGACGAGGATTCGTCCATCAGCGTCGATCTTCGTATACGATCACCTGGCATCACTGAGCCATAATAATAAGACGAACAAAGCCATTGAGAAGGCTTAACATGGCTTAACAAGCAGCTCATCAAGCGAAGCAATGCGAAACACTTGACTTTGCTAGTAAGTAGCGGAAGAGGCAGCTCAAGCTAAGTGTCAAGTGTCAGGAAGCAGAACAAGCCCAACCTGAAGCAGAATAGCCGAAGAGAAGACACAGCCTGGGGCGGAAGAACGACCCCTATCTGAAGTTCAACAGACAGCACAAAGTGCGGGAAAAGGAGATGCAGGTCTGACTGAGGAGATGAGGGTCGAAGTGCCCAAAGCATGTTCCGAAGATGAGAAGCGCATGTCTAACTCTGAGCATCGCTACTAGGAGCAAGACGGAGGTGGCCACACACAAGACGGAGGTGGCGGTGGCACCCGTCACTTTTCACTCGGCTGCCGTGCAAGATCCGTGCCGCTGTTCCAGATTTTGCACAGCGGCTGACTGCCCAAAGGTAAGTTGAGAATACCGCCGGATGGAAAGGAGTTGGCAAGCTTACTCAGCCTTCAGCCTTCAAGAAATCAAAGGAGCAGACCTAGCGACCTACTTGATTTGGTCAGCTTGGGAGGGTGCGTATTGGACCTTCAGCAGGGAGGTATGGTTTCGCAATTCATGGCTTGAGATCTAAGCAAATATAGGACGCTACTAGGAGCAAGGACGCTACTAGTAGCTCCTGGCATTTCTACTAGTAGCAAGAAGCTACTACACTGGCATTCACTGGCAGTCAATAGGAATCTTCCACAGCATGAATCCATTCGGTCGGCCAACCATGCTCTGCTGTCCTGGCTTGAGGTTTCAACAGCGACATGGCATTCCTCCTCAAATCGTTTGCTGTCCTTGCTCACTTTGGCATAGCTTCGTCGTTGGCCCCAGGAGCTTGGGTAGCTTAGCGAAGAAGGTGACTTGGGACCTCGTGACACCGACAAAACAGAGTGCTTTGCACCGTGTGTTTGTTTGCCATATAGTTCTACACCTTCCACCCCTTCCCTTCATGGTTGCATGTGGCATGGCATTGAAGCTCGTGCTTGGCTAAAAGGCTAAGACTAAGAGAAAACACAGTTTCCAATTGCAAAGAGCATTCTTCAGAGGACACAACCTTTGTTTTTATTGCCTTTTGCCCTTTGCATGCGTTTGCATTTTTCGGATGCATGTCCTCTTGTGTCCTCCAACATGTTGCACATCCTTTTTTGTCCTTGGACCCAAGCAGGTCCTGGTGTGTGCTGCACAGCTATCTATATGCATTTATACTTACTGTAATTACTGATGTTTGGCTTGTTTGGCATTTGCTGCTGGGATATGCAAAAAACAGGAGACCTTGGGAAAAACATTGACAGACAAGCAGAATCATCATATTAATATGCACAATGAATCCGTCCCTTATCATATCCACCTGAACTACAGCAACAAAGCTCTCTTTGCAATCAACACCTATTTCTTCCGACCTTCCAGGATTTCTTTCCCATTTTTTTGGATTTCTTTTGTCTACCCCGAGAAGTGGAGCCGTGCATAGTTTCAGTTCTGGAAAGTGTTGCCCATCAGGAGATTGTGCTTTCGTTGGCATCTATGGCGAGAAGGTGGACCTTGTTAAATATATAAATATGTATGGTGTGAGATTTGGACCTTGTTATAGAGGGTCTGACTGAAAGCTCTGATCAACTCTTCTAGGGCTGGGTGTAGATAAGGTTCTGTCTTGGATCGCCTTTAGGTTCCAAGAACATGACGTGTGCTTTTGACAAACCACCTATGTCGACTTCTGCAAAAAGACAAAAAGCCTTCTCCATGTCCACACCAATTTACAGCTTGCACTTTGTACTTGTCCGGAGTGCCTGTCGATGTGATCCTTCCAGCTAGCCTTGGCTTCAGCCGTCCAATTCTTAAGGGCAGACTGTTCAGCAGCTGAATTGGATTTGCGCCCTCGGCCAGGATGATTTTGCAATCCTTTTGATGGAAGATGCGAATGGGGAGAAGATATCCTTGACAGACGGGAATTTCAAGGACAAGGACTTTGAGGCTGGAAACCACAGCGATTGAAAGGGGGCAAGGCTCTCTTTTGATTTCTACTGTAATTTGACAGGAGATTTAGGTTTGGCTTGCTTTCCTGTGCGCAACTTGGAACAGACCATCCTTTGTCAGGATCAACCAAATTAGCAGACATTGCATAAAGGCAAACAAACATATGCAAAGTGCCAGACTCGACAATCTTCCCTGCTCTCATCGTGGCTTCTCCATGTGCAGGCCAGCCAGAGGGCTCAAGCGAAAGACCATGTGAAAGATGCCGTCAAGGGAACTGTGCCACGGCAGTTAAACTGTTTGTTGTCCTTCAGCTTCGATGACTTTGAGAGCTAGAAGCTTGAGGAAATCATTGCTAACAGAGCTTTAGGTATCCATCTCACAATCCATACTTTTTTGCACATATTCCAGTCTTCAGCTTGCAGACTACTCTGGTGAGCAAACACTGGTGGGACAAGTTTGACACTACTCAGGTGTTGAGGAAGTCGGACTTTGTGACCGAGAACGGGTGACTCATGATGAAAAATTGGCTGGAGTCCCCTGTAACTTGTGATCTAAAACCTATATAGAATCTTTTGTAGTTGAGTACAACAGTTTGTGTATTGGACACGACCTACGAGCACGCGAACAGCTTTGTGTCAGAAATTGTATATGGAGCAAAGGGCGGAATCAATAATCAATATTAATATACAGTATTTTTTGGATCACACAATATAGATGTGTGTGGGATTGTATAGAGTCAACAGACAGAAAGGGGAGATAGGGGAAGGAGCAAGGATATTTTTCACTGGAGAGGTACAAGCGCGGCAGTGTCCCACCGAAGAATCTCACAAGGAGGTTCAAAGGGCTCCAAAGGATCCAAAGTTTCATCAACAAATTCATGGCGCGAACGGGCGACAAGTGCATGTTTGCAGAAGTGAAACACGATACTAAGGCCACCAAAGTTGGTCTAGCTACAAGCAGGGACCAACAGCGTAGGACCCAATAGCAGGTATGTGGCTTCAACCCATGAACCAAGGGCACGCACACACACACACACACACCTTAAGCCTTAAGCTTTGATATTGATGACGGCCTTTGTGTCTCCCACCGCCCACCTTTAAATCCACATCCACACGGGTTGCTCATTTTGCGTCAGGTGGTCCTTTGCCGCTCCTTTGGCACTCACAGTTTACAAGGGAAGCCCATCATCTCCCACGGCCTTGTGCGGCGTCAATTTGGATGGGAAAACAGGCCAGATTGGATATATTGTGCATTGTGCCTGCAGTGGAATTGGGTTGGTCAGGGGTAAGACTGCAGATTTCTCAACTCTCAACCTGATATGCCCTGATCCTTGACCGAGCAGACACTATCACTATGAGCAATTCGTTCTTTTGACAGGGCAAACGCGTTACAAGGCTTTGCAGACAAACGTCAAATCATGCACAATGCAAATGGAGGACATGTGGTGCAATTGATTGTGGAACTCAAGCCTACATAGCCTAAACATATCTAAACATGTCAAAGACCTTGATTCCTTTGCCAGCGATAAGCAACGACGTGCTCGTTTTTTGGGGTTTGGGAGCGGAGAAGGTTCATGGCCTCAACGAGTCAAAAGGGTCAGTGGTGCTTCTGACCGTTAAGACTAGTAGCGATGCCCTTTGCGTCTTTGCTCCTAGTAGCGATGCCCTTTGCTCCTAGTAGCGTCTTTGCTTCGAGCAGCGATGCCCTTGCTCCTAGTAGCGTCTTTGCTCCTAGTAGCGATGCCCTTGCTCCTAGTAGCGTCTTTCCTAGTAGCGTCTTTGCTCCTAGTAGCGATGCCCTTTGCTCCTAGTAGCGTCTTTACTCCTAGTAGAGTCTTTGCTCCTAGTAGCGATGCCCTTTGCTCCTAGTAGCGTCCTGTTAACGGTTAAGACTTGGTATTCAAGGTGTGGCTAGGCCTGGTAGCGACATGTATCGGTCAGTCAAATCCCCAGGCGGCATGGCAGTTCGACGGCTCGATGAAGAGGTGGGCGGGCTCCAGCTGGCGTTCAGTTCAAATATGTCTTTTGACCTTAAGATACATTTACAATATAAGTAAATAAACATATATATAATATATATATTTGTATTCTGTTTGTTGAATTGTATGTTTTACTCTTTCATTTCCCTCAATGCATCTGAAATGAAGGAGCCGTTTCGACTCTGGAAAGGGTACTTCAAGAATCCGCGCTCTTTTGCATCATTGCTACTAGATAGCTACTAGATAGCTCTTATGTTTGCTACTAGACTCCTTCCCACATCGGACAGCTTTGCCACGATGCAATATGTTTTCTATTCCATACACATTAACAATCTCTCTCTCTCTCTCTCTGCTGTAAAATTCAGCAGCTGTTTGTTTGTCGTTTGTTTGTGCACGTCTCTGTATTGTTTTCCTCTTGGCAACTGTCCTTAGGCTGAGCTAGGCTAGGCTCAAGGCCTTTGATCCAAGGTGCATTGTATAGCACCAAGTCATTGTACATGAACACTACGATGGAGTAAACATGCAATTGTACAGAAGGTTGTATCTTGACACCGTCCCTAGGTTTGATTCACTGTTGAATCACACCATCAATACAAACATTGTAACATTGTTGAAACAGTAAAGGAACATTATTGTACATAAACAGTTCGGGCACTGTAGGCAAGTCTGTACATGTTCTTCTGCCTTGTCTCTCCAGTGTTGTTGCCCTTCTCATCGTTGTGCTCGTATGGCGTTGTCACAGCTGGAGATTTGCAGATTGTTGAGACATTGTCTCAACCCTCCATGTCATCCATCTGATTGTCTGGGGCCTCCGAGGATTGTCTGGGACGTTTTTTCCCCTTTTCTTCTTCCTCGTCTTCTGACTTTTCCATATTGTCCTCATTGTATAGGACTGCTCGGTCCTCCCACAAAGAGATTGTCGAGTTTGTGGGAAGTCGACGCTGATTGTGGTAGTCTGGAATCGTCATCTCCACAGTCATTGTTGCCCTTCAAGTTGTCCTTGATGCAGTCGTTCGCGATTGTGTGAGCTTGTAAGCTTGAAGGCGGCTGCGGTCAAAGGAACTGTTGACAAATTGTCAACCAAACATGCATTGTCATCCAAATTCAAAAAGCAAAACTTCAAACACATTGTCCATCGAATTGTACTCCGAAACGACGAAAAGAAAGTCGGGCCCATTGTGAAACTAAAGATCTTGTAGTACATATTGTCTATGACATAGTATGCACATAGTAGCTAAAGTAGTGTGCCATGGCTTGATCCCCCGTGTGTGTATTGTACACGCGGTGGTGCTGCCACGGTTGTGAAACTGGTTGTATAGCTGTTGTTCAGTTGTGGTGTTGTGGGCCTTGAATGCCCGCCATGTAGAGGTGTTTGTTAAGCACCTCTGCCGAGACATACTTTGTCAGTATGTCTGCTGGGTTGTCGTGTGTGCTAATCTTGTGTATTGCCAGTACCCCGCGTTGCACCAGTTGTTGTATGAAGAGGTACTTCAGGCCAATGTGCTTTGCCTTCTTTGACGAGCCAATTCTTGTTGCGATGCTCTTGCCGCTTATGCTGTCTGTATGTAATATGCGAATGTTCACCTTTGTTGTTGTTGCTTCCTTGATGAAGTTTGCTATATGTAGTCCTTCTTGTGCTCCTGTGCCAATTGCATAAAGCTCTGATTCTGCTGATGATAGTGCTACTACTGCTTGTGTTCTGCTTCCAAATTGTACCACGGATCCCATCATTGTCACTATGAATCCACTTGTTGATTTTCTTGTGCTTGGGCATCCTGCCCAGTCTGCATCGACATAAATGTTGAGGTCAATAGGTTCCTTTGTTTGTGGCGTGTGGGTTGTCCTCAGGATCATCTTGTAGTGTTGTGTTCCCCTGAGGTATCGTAAAAGATGTTTCACCTTGCGTAAGCTTTGTTGTGTTGGTTGTTGTAGGTCTTGTGCCAGTTCTTTTGTTGCAAAGCTGATGTCTGGTCTTGTGTCGGTCAGCCATTGTAGCTTTCCTACTGCTCTTCTGTAATCTGCATGTTCTTGTGCATCTAGAGGTGCATCATCGTTTGTGGATTGTTTCAGGGTTGCCGTCCCTCGAGCTGATGCTGGATTGCTTGCTTCCATTTTTGTTTCCTTCAGCAATGTGGTGATGTATTCTGGTTTGAGGCTCACCTCAAAGAAGTCTCCATTGTTGTGGATGTCTCTGCCAAGGAATTGGATTGCCTGACCAATTCCCAATGTGCCGGTTGGTCGTAGTAGTACATGCTTTTGTACTTCCTTGAAAGTCTTGTCGACTTCTTGTTGTTGTCCCAGGAATAGTAGGTCATCCACATAGACCATCACAAACATTGTCTGTTCATTGTTCCTGTACACGTTGGGTTCACTTGTCAGTCGAGACAGTCCCATTTGTTGTAGGACTTGTGCAAAGTGATCCTGCCAGGATTTTGGACTTGATCGTAGTCCATAGATTGCTTTGTTGAGCTTCCATACTGTGGCAGTGTTGTGACCACTTGGGTATAGTTCTGGTGGTGGCCACATGTAGAGATTGTCTGTCGCTGCTGGTGCGTGTAGGAATGCTGTTGACACATCTCCTGCTTGTATTGTCCAGTGGTTGTGCTGTGCCATTGTCAGTAGGATACGTAAGATCCCAAAGATTGGTGTGCTCGCATAGATGTTGTCAAGGTCTTGGATTGTTTCCAAGTAACCTTTTGCTACTATGCGACATCGCACTTCATCTAGATGACCCACTTGGATTCTATGATCCTGTTCTTGTGTTCTTCTGGGACATCGTTGTAATTCATCTCTGTGAACACTCCTTGTGTCTTCATCGATTGCTGTACTTTCAATGGATCAAGACCTTCATTGTCGTAGACGAAGGGTTCTTGTAGCATCCTTTCCACTTCTGCTTCTTGTTCATCCTCACAGGATGCTGTGGTGATCTTGTCACCTTTCTTTGTGGTGATGGTCACTGCTTGTATTCTCATCTTTGCTTTTGTTTGTTCTTCATCTTGTCCTCTGTTTGCTGCTGTTGAGGACTGTGCTGTCCTTGATTGTTTGGCTTGTGCTTCACCTGTAGGCTCCTCGTGTTGTCGCTTGCTTGCTGGTGGTAATGGCAGTGGTGGTCTTGCCATTGTTGTTGGTGAAGTTGCCAATGGTGATGTTGCCATTGTCATATCCATTGGGTGGTGATGCATTGCTTGTGCTGGTAGTGCCAGTGGTGTCTCTTGTGCTGTTTGTGTGCTTATGTCTTCCACTGTAATGTCAGCTTGTGTGCCAATTGCTTGTCTGCTTGTGGTGTTGTCGGCTGGTAAAAGCAGTTGTGGTGGAACTGCCATTGATGGTGTTGGCAAGTTTCATGGATACACGTTGATAGTATCCAGTATATAGTTGCTTGTCGTACTTGTCTGGCATGATCTGTCTTCGAATTGTTCTTGCTCTGATGACCTTGCCAGGGATGCCAACTATTGACTCTCCAGTCATTGTGTCTCTGCCAAGCCAGATTCCTTTGAAGAATCTTGGCTCCATCTTGGGTTGTGCTTTTGTGGTTGGTATCATCTATTGTACTGTTTCTGCCATCTCGCATAGTGGTGCTTTGCGGTCCTTCTGCCATGGCATGATCGGATGTTGTACGCTCAATGTGAGGTTGTAGCTTGTGGTCACTTGTTGTACCAGTGCTCGGACTTGTCCCATCAAAGTGCGATGGAATCGTTCAATGCTTCCTTGTGATTGTGACGAGTATGCCGGTGATTGTCGGATGTTGACGTTGTTTCCGAGCTTTTGTGCGACGGCTTTCAATAGGTTCTGTATGTATTCTTCTTGGTCTGATTGTAGTGTTGTGGTGGATAGTGTTGCTTGTGCTTGTCCACATTCGAACATGAATGTTTGTAGACATCGTATCAGGTATTGTTGTTGTTGGTTCTTGTCTTGTACAAGAACTGCCATTGCCATACCTGATTCGACATCTATTGCCGTCAGTACTGGTAGTACTTTTTTGTCTCCAAATGCTTTCATGTAGGTGAAGTCCACTTGTATCACTGGTTGTTTGCTTGCTTGTTTTGGGTGATTGTCTGTTCTTCCTTTGCTCTTGACACATATTGGGCACCATGAGCGGTATGGTAAATGTGTCAGCTCATGTTCTACTCTTTCTTGTCTTGTTGGTTGTTGTGGCGCCTTCATCCCTTTGGCGCGTTGTGCTTGTTGAGATTCATCTTCATTGTCCGTGTCGTACTCGTACTTGTACGTCGCATCTTCCTCGAAGTTTGTTGATCCTGTCCATTATCTGTCAAGCTGTCTTGCTCCTGATTCCTGCCAATTGTCATGGATTGTGTATCCTCTTCCTTGTTCCGTTCTGTTCACGAATGTTGTCCGTGTAGGTTTGAGTCGTCCAATGTCTGGACCATCTTCTGTTTGTTGTGGTATGTACATTGTCGTCCGTACTTGTACGTGAACTCGTTTCCAATAGTGTCCTTCTCTGATCCAATAGTCTGCTGGTGTCATTGTGGATGGATCAGGTACTGCCGTGGTTGTTGGTGCTGGCTTCTTCGTTGTGTGTCTGTATAGTGGCTCTCTGCTTGCCTGTTGTGTTGTCCCGTCTCTTTCCGGGGTTCGTAGTGTTGTGGATTGATGTCGTGCCTGTATTGCTTGTGATGCTTTCTCTGTCTGCTCTGTTGTCTTCGCTGTTGTAGGCGCCGGTTGTGCTGGCGGCTTGTTCACTCTGAACCATGTTTCTCCTGTCCATGTGTCTCCTTGTATCACTCGTCGTCGTTCGTGTTTGCTCAAGTCATGGTATTGTTCAACCATGTCTTCGTTGTTCCCGTCTGTTCGTCGAATGATTGTTCGTCCATAGTTGCTCAATGTCTCCAGTGGTACTGGGCAATTGTCGCCAGGAACAAAGAGAGCTTTCCTCTTGTTCCGGTGATACCGTACAAGGTATCCTTCATTGTTGTAGTTCCAGTAGTCGCTGTTGCCTCCAAGGATTTGTTGTGGTCCATGCTTTGTCAGTGTTGTTGGGGCAATCA